CAATACTTCGGGTTGCTCTTTGATTAGAATTCAATAAGATAGGCTTCAGTGACATGGGTGGAGGTTCACAAATGATCTACAAACAAATATAATGGATGAAATTAATCTGCATAACAAACAAAAAAAAAGAAAAAGCTTAACAAAAAAGTAGTAGAAAATCGGGACACATATAAACAGATAAATGATAAAACGAAAAGTGATTCAGACAATTCATAGCTGTAAGATTTTTCAATGTTAACATTACAACATATGAAGCTAAACATAGAGTAAGAGCTTTTTAGCAAAAAAAAAAAATTCTATACCAAAATAAACTCACGTTGAACTGTTGTTCTCCTGCTGCCTTCGACCTCGTTACATACGTAAATTTCTCTGGGTACGTTGACTTACGCTTTCTATTTTTTCTAATCATTTTCTTTTTAGTAGGCATTTGTTCTTTGTCAGATTTCTGTAAACAATATATCATTACCGAAAGTTTTATTTGTTTGATTCTGTAAATTGAAATTTCACACTTTTCAGATAAATTAAATAATGAAAACGATAATAATTTACATTTGTAAAAAATAAGGAGGATCGTCGCCTTAAATTTCTTCGTCCAAAAGAAGTTCCCCCACATGAATTCATCTAAAGAGATGTAAATCTTCAATATCCAATAACAAAATTTAAAACAACAAATATTTAACATCTGAATCAAAAACATACATTTAAATTTGATACACTGAAGGTAATTAAATTTTTCACACTTGAAACACTGATAGTAGCGGTCCAAAAGTTATAGCAAGCAACCGATCTTTATACAACTCTAGGACCCATAACTTGTATGAAATGCAAACATTTTTATTGTAGAAGGAGATCACTGCTTCAAGTTTGTTCTAAGTTTGCTCTATCCTTCATTAGCTACCACAAAGTAGAACATCCTTCATTAGCTACTTTGTGGTAATCAACAAATAACTGAACTTATCTATAGAAACAAATAATCATTCTAATTACCAAATAAACGCAAAATACAGTGACATCATTTGTACAGTAAACAATTGCAGTAACAAACTGATGAGTGAATTCAATCTATAATGAGACGGTAAAACAAACCTGAGTAGCACGCTGTTAGAAAGACTTGTAATAACAAATACAGAAAAATCATTAGAAGTTCTGATGTTTAAAGAAAATGATCTAGGAAATGTGTCATTTCGCGACGACTTTCGCTACGTCTTCTACACATTACGGCTTAGTAAGCTTTACAGTATGCAGTCCTTCTGTTGTGGTACTGAATACAGTCCGTTATTCTCAAGTGAATCACGTAATTTGTTAATACCGTATGTTTTAAGTTGTTTTAACAGTGTAACTTAGAAACGATACTTTATATTCCCGTAATATTTGCCAATTTAAATTGAGGCAGCAGCTTTCGGTTTCATTTTTAACGTATATTTTTTATAAATCGAAAATTGCTAATAGGAAGTAGCTGAAAAATTATGCCTTCAACTAGACATATATTTCAAAAAACTTTTATTAGACTATAAATTAATATATTCATGTATTATGCGCAAAAGATTCGGAAAAAATTTTTTAAGTTGTCATCTTTTGCTGTTTTTATAATATTATCCAAAAGATTAATAATCAGATCAATGTGATGAAAGAAAGTTGATAAGGCATTTAAATAAATTTACTATCAGATCAGATTTTCACGTGTCACGCTATAATTTTAGATTCATGAATATCTGAATCAATGCAGTGAAAAAAAATTACAAAGGTTATAATCTTTATTGCTCAGTTATGCAACTTATTCATAAATTGCATAACTGAGCAGTAAACTATTTTGTAAATTCAAGCAATCATAATAATAGTTTGATGAAAAAAATACAGTAATATTACTTGAGATCAATAAATAATTCAAATCAGTTCTTGCTAAAGCAGTCGTTGATTCTGTGATTCAAACAATCTTCGATTCCATGATTCGAAGCACCAAAAATTAATAATTGAATCTTTGTAGATAAAAAACAAAAAATGGCAGATAATTAATGATTATGAGCGGTTGCAAATGAGTTGTACAATACTGGTGCATCATTTTTGTAATTATTAAAAATGATGTCATATATTTTGTATGGAAACAAATATTAAGTAAAATCAAACACATTTGTCACAATTTCACAATTTCAATGGCATCAATTTTTGTAATACTAAACTTCGTTAATTGCCATATTTACTGTATTTTGGACAAAATTATCATTAAAACCTGAAATATCCTGCAGTGATAATTATTTGAAAAATACATTTATTCTTTAACTTAACAACTCAAATCTGATAATTTATCCCCGTTCCTATTAGTGTAATCGGTATTTAAATCACAAGTTCGGAACAGATTGCATTCTTTGATCAAGAGATCAGACTCATTTCCAAATTTTTGGTAACGATGATAACTTTCACTGGAATAGTACTCATATTCCTGATTAGCATCAAGAACTGTGTACCTGAATCTTCAGCATCTAGTGGTATTTTTATCTGCATGAATTTTTGCTTGTCGTTTTGTTTGATTGATTGCTAGTGTAATTTATATATTTAATCATTAAAATTTTCAATAGCTAAACGATCAGATTAAGATTTACTGTATTTGAACTGAATCGATAAGATTTCAAAGTTATTGTGATGTGAAAATTTCCCAATACTTCAAACTTTTACACATTTTTGATTTGAAATATTAACGAATAAAAATTTTTTAATAATCATTAATAGTACTGAATTATTATTACTATTTAGTAACAGAGAATGAAGGTGCAAATTAAGTAAGCCAAACAAATCATTTCTCGCACTTTACTGGAAGTTATCAAATACTAAGACTGATTCAAAAATTTGCATATTTACATGAAGAAAGTTAGCTTACAAAGAAAAACTCTCCGTATAATCAAGATATTAAATCAAAATTACATAGTCAAATAATAGCGAATATCAAAAATCACAGTTGCATTTTTGAAATTTATTTATTTGCCAGTATAGTTTAAATAAGTTCGAACTGATATTTTAACTTGTAATTGTTTTTTAAGAAAGTAACTCTTTTTTGACTTGACTTACTGACTTACTTCAAGTTCTATAATCAACACAAGTAGCTAGCTCGACTTTATACTTATAATTAATATGCAAGAGACTAATTTTTCTATTTTAGCAAAAAAAAAGAAGATATTTATAATAGTTATTTTGTATACAATATCTGGGAGACCAGTTTATTTTCAGGAGGTGCATCACACATGAAGCATACTCATGGTCATTCGAATCACCATCATGTCCACCATTACAACCTACTGATGCGCTTGTTGGCAGCGATAAAAAATCTCTCTGATGGATCGCAGCAAGAATTAATGAATATTTTGAACAGTACTTTAACCAAACGACAATTTTCATACGTAATTTATAAAGTGAACAAAACTCAAAAATTCATGATTTTGGTAATTCAGTAATTCACTTTTTTTGGTTTTTTTTGCCAATCAAATATTGTATTTTCTGCTGTCAATAAGATGACTTACATAATAGTTTAGCGCAGAATTATTTATATCTATCATTTTAAATGAATTGTTTATGGAAAATAATTGTAAAAAATGATAGATATAAAATGATAGTTTATATTTCGAGAATATTTATTTATTTATAAGAAGTAGTCATCTCTTGAATATATTTAGTATAAAATTTATTAAATTTTATAAATTATATATTTCGAATAAATAGCATCCATAATTTTGAATTAATATTTTTATTTTTCGGAATTTCTACTAAATACTGCAAACCTGTTGATATTTCAGGAGAAAAAAGAAACAGTGCAAGATTACGTTGCTAATACGTCAGCTATGATGTCAACAACAATGAGACCAAATAAAATGAAGCGTGAGATATAAAAACAAACAGAATATTTTTGAATAAAAATTAAAAAACCAGAGCGAACTAAAGAACTGCTTGACATATGAACTTTTTAGGAGCACTCGATATGACTCACCAAAAGATGAGTCTTAGAAACCAAATCTCAGGTCAGGAACATGGCGCAGATTTGACCACTGCTCCTTTCGGATGTCAAACATTCATGGAATCTTATAAAAATGAATGTTTTCATGAAGCAAAATATATGGATAATATGCATGGACCACCTTTTATCACACTGCTGAATCCTGAAGATCGCAAAGAATTTGAAAACATACGTAGCCAAGACAATATTACAGGTTATCAAATTATTGATAATCTAAAACAATGGGCGGCAAAAAAAAATCCACAAATTCAGGTGGTTTAATTTTTTCTTTTTATAGTTTTTATTTAACACAATAATAAGAATAATTAAATAGTACTAATACTTGACAACTTAATTTTTATTGTAATTCATAATTTTTTAACTCAATTTTATAACTGAAATTATTATGTCTACATTCATTTAATATAATATACAATAAGTTAAGCATTTTAATTGTAGCTAAATAATTCGTTTAAAAATTTGACACACAATCTCAGTAACTAAATTATTTTTTAACTAATTATTTTAGTAGCCAAATTATTATATTTTTATTAGTAATTAATTATTTTAGTAACAAAATTATTATATATATATCAGTATATTGAATTCGTTGGCTTCTATAGTTAGTAGGTATTTTTTTAGGCTCAATTAGAGGAAGCAATTGGAAATACCGAAGAATCAGTTACGGAAGCTTTATTAATCGTTGAAAATATGGAAAGTTGTTGTTTAGTCAAACAATTATTAACACAGTTGATCGAAAACGATGCGGATTTGGGATTAACGATGGAAGAACGCCTAAATAGAAAATCAGTGATCATTAAAGACATACCACATAATGTATTCAACCAGGTGATTAATGGATTAATCAATCTGTGTTATTTACTTTGTTCAAATATTATTTAAATTGATTGCTCTATTATTATTAATTAATTAATAATATTTTTCAAAAAAGGCAGGATTGCGAGCAGTAATAAATAAGTACCATTTTATAACCTTTGCAGCCATTATTTATTTCAAATAAAAACCATTACTGTAATTATTATTAAAGTGATAATACTATTTTCAAAAAAAAGAATCAATAAAATATATTACACTAAATTATTTAATATAACAATATACTTAGTTATTTGATACAAATTTATACATCTGATGAAAACAAATCTCATCAGCAAAATATTGATACACAAGTGATATCAATATAACTGTGTATATTTGTAAATTTGATATTAATAATAAACAAATAATCGAATAAATAATCTTTCCATTTATGGTTAAATGTAATTAATTCAGAACTAACTGCTAGTGATAGCTTATCATTAAATCAACTGATAATGTAATAGCAAATGAGCGCATTGATACGTAAAGAAAAATATCATCAAATACAAAGAGTTGATCCGTATGGTCATCACAGCTGGCTACTTCATCTGGTCATCATTTGCTAATGATAACGATCTGATTAATATTAGCATGTATATGCATTATGCAATGTGTCTGTGTGACTCCTTGAAATTCTATTTTTTGCATTAAATCATTTCTTATTAATACTTGATGGAAATTTAAATTTATGAAAAAAACTATAAATTAAGAAGACATTTTGGAACTTTCATTGTAAAAATAAGTTATTTTTATTACTTTCCTGAAAATTCAAGTATTATTAATAATAGCTTAAATTTATCTTCATTCAAAAGATAAATTAAGTAGTTTTTTCATCTCAATGGGGAAGAATCGTTGCATAAATCTTCAGGAATTTGAATTTTTGTGTAAACAAATGGATACAAAAGAAATTCTTAGAACTAAATAAAAGTTTGAAAAATTTGTATTAATCTTTTTCTGAATCAAGTAAATAATGCTTTGTTACTAATCTAATACGTGAATATTCACGTGTCTAAACAATTATGCTAATATAATCTCAACAATTCTAGAAGAAATATACTTACAAAAAGTATGATATATCATCTATTATTTTCTGCTGTTAAAGTTAAGTCTTCTATATGTAACTTTACCTTAAAAGCAGATTAAGCAAAATTTGCATTTATTGAAAAGAGTACCAAGTACAGAAATGAGTCAAATCTTGTTTCCATGGATACATTTCGATTATTTTAGCTATTATTTATTTTAACTACTATTTATTTATTTGCACAATTCAATATGGATAATTATTCAACAAAATCAGAAGTTCCTGGATTTATTATACGACCAACAAATCAAGAAAAGTATGCATGCATCATTTTTATATATTAGGCAATTTAAAAATTATCTTAAAAATTTTGTTTTAAGTTTTATTTGCATTTCCTAATTTTTATTTTTTCGTATTTTATTTAAATAATTTATAAAATAGTCTCAAATTTCAAGAGCTAATTAGCGATTCTTTCTTGCCATAGCAAGCGTTTTGGTGTGAATAATCCTAACATTACTGGATAAAAATATAATTATGCGTTTTACAATCTTATTGAATTATTTTTTGTACAGTAATTGACAGAACAATTCAGAGATAATTATACAGTTTGTGTAGACTTTCTGTAATATTAAAAATATTTTCGTATCTCTGACAATAAAAAAGCTCTAAAAACTTCCTTCTTCTGATTACAAGACTTGCATTGGTACGAAGAATCTTTGAAGTGAATGTAGAAACTAGAAATATGCAAGAAATATTCATCGAATGCCATAAGTAATTTTGTAGTATACTTATTAAAAGTCGAAAATCACTAATTACTGCGATCATAAAAAACTTGGATAACTTCTGTGAATCTCATATATCGTAACGATTCTAGGACTTATCAATTTTAGATTTCGTGCCAATGTCGGACGACGTATAATAGAAGAAGTGCTAACGGAAAACTTGTCAGGACTTACTTATGAATCTAACGATATTGAAGAACTAAGCAAATCGCTAGCTCTTAAGATTCGATGCCGATTGAAAGGTATTTTGGTACATTTTCTTGCTAAATATTACAATTCATCACAACATTATGACAATCTAATTGAATTAATAGTTATGGGAAAGCAGAAACTATAAAAAAGGAGTAAAACATAACGGCATTAAAACAAATAAAAGTAAAAACTCAACACAATTTTCAGAACTCGATTTGCCGCGATACAAGTATATAGTTCAGGTGATTCTAGGCGAAGAACGTGGGCAAGGAGCAAGGTACAAGTACATTAACATATCCAGAAACTACTGTATTCTTTAAATATGATCTAACTAGAAACTGAACTTGCAAATTACCCAACTGATGTGCAGCTAAGCCGTTTTATCTTGGAATACCTCATCGACACCATCACAATAGTAGCGCATTTTTTCGTGACATCGATAATATATGACAACTTATTTAGGGCAAGTGGAGGATGCATTTGGGACAATGACAGTGACTCAGTAGCATATCATACCTACTCCCACGTAAGCAGCTAACAAAAATATAAATCGATTACACCTTATTACGTCTGTTAGTGAACGTTTTCTATAATGTTATACTAATAATTAAATTATTTAATAATGCAGTACATGATTTTAGGAACAGCTGTTTTGTGAAGCAACTGTATTTGCTGTATTCCATTACTGATGTAACTGAAGTTGACTTATAAACCCGAAAGTAATTTGCACTGTCCCCATTAATGTGACTGCACGATACACTTTACAAAAATCACCATGTTTATCGTTTATGGATAAAAATTTGTAGAACAATAGCAACAAGAATTAGACCACACAGCACCTGGTCAGACTTCCGTTTTGCGCACATGTCGTCCACGACGAGATTCTACTGGTTGTAATGAACGTAGAAGTTTTGAAGCACGTCTTCTGGCCAACTAAAAGCAAGAAAGTAATTGTGAATTAAAAATGTAAAATCAAAGATGTAGATTTCATGATTTCGAAAATCTCAACTTATAACTCCCTTGCCAGACAAAATTCAAAATGCTAGAGAAGAAATATGGAGGAAAATTTAGAAGCACGCATTCCAAATTGCATTTCGTCACAGTTCTCACTGACAACTTAAAATAACCACATCATTAACAATAAACTAACTGATACGAGGTTTGGAAGGAACTGGCAAAAAAATTAATTGTACAAAAAGAAAATACTTTTCTGTGCGCAGCTCTGTAAGTACGTGCTATATTGGACACGCTTTTCAACGATTTGCGACTATTCTTTTTGAGCACGATGGATGTGATTGACTGATCGGGTACAGCAACCTTTCCTGGAATTAGAATTGGCAACTAAATCAGAACCACTGAAAGTGACATACTACACTGAATCACGTGTACTGTGCATCCATCGACAGTATAAAT